AAAAAGGCCCCAAGACTGAAAATAAAACCATAAGCACACAATTAGGAAACAGTCAAAGCAGAACTAGACAAAAGCTGCAATATAACACACAAATATCTATTGATTCTGAATGGTGAAGGCTTGTTATTTACATGACTTAGTACTGGTGTAAAGCATGAAGACATTGTGCATGTTCTTGGCTCTGACAGGCCTAAACAAGGCAGAAGAATGCAATGTGAAGATACTAGCTCATTTGCTCAGACCATTTTTCATCTTCAAAAGATACTCTTAAGTTACTCGGGGGTTTTGCTCACCTTGGTGTCATAGAATTTGAGGTAGAACCGGTTTTTCGGAATAGATAACTTGGACTCGAGTATGCTGGCAATAGCACCACTCAGTTTCTTGTTCACATCCGAGGTCAGACCTCCAATCGAGACGAGCTCTCCATAGGCAGCTGGCTGCTCAGTTCCTCCAAATGCAATTGGCACAGATCCCTTCAACACAACCATTACATACTGCAAAAAGCAAAAAGCAAAAAACAAAACAAAACAAAGAGATAATAAATTTCAGAGTAACAGTTTCACCTCGATAATTCAAAGTAGAAAGGATTTTTTTTCACATTAGAACACAACGAAGTTAAGAATCAATGAGAACTTCGTGCAAAACATTATTACAAGTACTTCATTTCTTTTTTGTACCAATACATCATACCCAAAAACCCATCCAAAATCCATGAAGCATATAACTGAACAATAAACTCATACCCAAAACCCACCAGAAATCCCTGGAGCATTAAACCAAACAATAAACACATACCCAAAACCCATATGTAATCCATTGAGCATATAACCGAACAATAAACTCAAACGCAAATCCATCAGAAATCCTTGGATCATTAAACCAAACAATAAACACAAACCCATATGTAATCCATCGAACATATAACCGAATAATAAACTCATACCCCCAAAACCCATCAGAAATCCCTGGAGCATTAAACCAAACAATAAACACATACCCAAAACCCATATGTAATCCATGGAGCATATAACTGTACAATAAACTCATAGTCAAAAACCATCCGAAATCCATGGATCATATAACCGAACAATAAACTCATACCTCCATGGAGCATATAACTGAACGATAAACTCAGCCAACTATATTACACGCACATGAGGAAACTTAATCCCAATTTCATCCCAGCTGAATCACTTCAAATCTTAGACCACGGGCACACTCTAGACCATTTTTAACTGAATCTCAACCAGGCAAGGCACCAAGCCAACAAAAAAAGAGAGCATTGCCTAAACATTATGTACAAATTCCCAAAAAAAATAACGCTCCATTTCACTCATCATAGTCATTCACTACGTTAACACTCATTGTTAGCAGAGCTTCTCTTACAAAAGAAACACTAATAATCAGCACCTCTGATCGCAAATTTCGAATACTACACATAAACAAAGAACTCCCACACCGATTTAAGTATATAAAAATTCAAAACGAGAGAAGAAAAACTAGATGAAATGAATAAAATGACAACGAATAGTAAGGAGAAGCCACATACGGCTTCAGGTTTGCCGATGACTTTGGCGACGGTGGATGAGGCTTCGGAGAGGACGGCAGAGGTGTCAACGCCGTCGAGGCTGACGTTCGTCGAGATGTTCAGGCACGGCATCGTTCGGCGAAACCCTAGCTTTCTCTCAGCTCTCACACACTCCCCCTTTTCTTCACACTTGTATTTCAACAAACAATGACCCCGACTTTTTTCCAACATAATTGATATATCATATATCCACAATTCCCATTTTGCCCTCAAATGATTTGTCAAACTCCACACCTGCCCTTGGAGCATAAAAGAATCACAATTTTTCACACAAACACAAAGAATTAAACGAAACTAATCGCTCGTTAGTTTAGTTCACTTCCGCTTGTTGTTTGATACACAATTAAGCTTGAACTTGTTTATTTTATGATAGGTTTTTACCTTCGCTTTGTGTTGTTATAAGAATTTGTAACAGCCAAAAGTCTAAAACGAATATCATTATGTTTATTAATTGTGTGTCGAATCGAACTGGTGATCGACACTTTTCTCTTCGATTTTTGTTCAATCTTCAAAAAATTCCTTTGGTTGCGATCCCTTATCCTATTTATACATGTGGTACTACCGAACACTATTTGTGTGCATAGTACAAATAGGTGTAGTACAAGATATTTTTCTATTTTCAGAAAGTACCACCGCATTTAATATTTAATAATTATGGTCTGAATCTCGACCTTGATCAGCGTAAGGGGTGATGACACGTGCATCCGACACAGCGGTGATTGGCGGTCACATCCATTATTAATACCTGGATAGGTGACAAAGTTGAGTTGTTGTTCGACACTAATTTGCAGATCTGAGTAGACCCTCATTCGCAATCTTGTTTGACTAGTTCTGCTCCGAACCGTCTTAAGTTCGTATTAACTCCTTTTGTTTATCTTCAATTCTTCATCATGTAAGCAAGGTTATGTCCCCATTGAAGGGGAAGTTCGGATGTCAACAACTTGTTTGAGACACAATCAACCATGATTCCATGAACTTGTTTATTTTGAACATCGGTTGAACTTTGATAAATATATTTTTATATTTACATAATTTTATACATTATGGGTCTCCTAACTTATCATTTCAGCATAATTGGATTCGGGCTATGAATTAATGAAGCATAATTAAATAACATGAACAATGAATCACGTGTGGTATTCTCCTCTCAGAACAATTTAATCTTTCAACCAATAATAATAAACGGAACGGGGGACCAAGAAAATTATTCATTTTCACTTTTATATATTATATTTTACTTACTAAAAGAAAAAAATTAGTACTATTACATTTTGGAGCTATTTTTGGGTGCAGCATTAGGCGCACCAAAGACCTTGAGGACAAACCTAGTCCTGGGAACATACAATTTTTCCTCTAAAATCAAACCAATTTTGACAATCAGCTTTCTTTTGACTTCAGTGGTAATGCCACCCATAGAGATGATCTCAGCCAGTGCTGCTGGTTCTTTGTTCCCGCCAAATGTGATGGCTACAGATCCTTTCA